CTCCCAAAAGAGCGAGCTCTGAGCCAGCAGCTTTGCTGAAGCACGGGAGTTCCACCTCTAGACTTTGTGTGAAACACCTAGATGTTCACCTTTACACTTCTTGTAGGTGATGGCAAGTGCTGGTTTCCAGCTTCTGCTACAAGCACTGGATATTCTTCAAAGCTCTTCAATTCATAGCTGATGGGCTGCTTTCAGCACTAACAAGACGTGAAAGTACAAAGCATATATACCTAGGAGATAAGCAATGGCCATCTTTTACATATGAAAAAAAATGCATTAGAGCAGTAGCATTCTTTTGAAAAGCTTGTCATTAACTTAGTATCTGCAGTAATGCTACTCTTTTTGGGCATTTAGACTTCAAAGAATCAGTCTTTTTTTTAAATTAAGAAGACAGTATGGCACCTTCTTTTTATGGAGATTAGTATCTGTGAATAGTGCCTTTGAGCTAGTTTGTGCACGTTTGATTAACTTGTTGATTAATGGACAAAGTTTTAAAGAATTACACTGTATAAATGGATTGTTACTTTCAATTTTATTTGTTTTCTGAGCAACTGGGTCATTGCCAACCATATCTGTGTGGGAGCTCTGGGCTTCTGTATCTGCTTAATGAATCCTGTTCTGAAAAGACATTGCATAAACCTGAGCTACAGACTGTATTTTCCCTTGGAGGAAGTGCTCATCAACGTCTCTCTGTTAATTCTCTCCTGGTTCATTAATCTTGTTCTCTGTTGTACGTTGTGACCCAGCTACCACAGGAGGGATGTCAAGAATCATACCAAATTGCTTTGTGGTAGGGTGCTGCCTTGGGGAAAGGGAGTAATGGGTTCAAACCATCTCACACTGAGGAGAGCCTAGAAACTATATCTCCTATTTCTGAACAAGCGTGCTACCCTGCCGGCTGCTGGACTGGCTGTCTTGCCTTCCATCCTTCCTTCCCTCACTCAGTCACACCACCCCTCAGTAGGATGTTCAACCCCCAGCATGTTGATCCCAGATAAATGTAGGAATTACTACTATATAGGGCCATTCAGACTCATCCTTGCACACGTGTTTCCCATTCATGGGCTTAAGGCAAAGCATCAAATCCACTTGGAAATGTTGACCTTGCGCAATCATTAAGGAGATATGGGAATGCCAGCAGATTCATTTACCTCGCTGTGTAGCCTAAGGAGCTTGGAGGTCAGCTTAGGGCTCTGGCTATGTGATCTCTGCCCCTTCTGTTTATGTATTAGTATTCTTCCACTAGGCTCCTTCTGGAGTATATGAACCTATCTCATATCCCTCATCCAGGAGGAGGTAATATTTCAACTTCCATTTTCATGGTGACTTTCTCACTGGCGTCAAAATGAGGTCAGGAGACATTACTTACATACAGTTACCACTGTTTTCACCAATTTAATTTGATTCCCTACTTCAGTTTAACGATATGCTGCTTAGTTTTCAGTGCTTAGTCAATGCATTTATGAATTGGAAGATGCACCAAGGATGTCTTATTGCTGTCTGGATTTTCTTACTGTAATGATAATGAATGACTACTTGATGTTGAAGAAATTTCAACTAGTATTCTTTCAAGCAGAATGCATTAAAAATATTTTCTGATGAAGGAGGGATGCATTTGCTACTTCTGGAATTTCCTTATTAACTCTGATAATGCTGCATATTCTAAAGTGTAAAATCAAACTGAACCTAATGCTTTTATGAAGGTTTGCCTTTATTTTTCAAAGCTAAGTGAAGGATGTGGGATAGAGGTGGGATACCTTTACCTCTTAAATGGAAGTTCATGTGAAAGTTGACAAAAAATTACTTTCAAAGCATTAAAGATGCTTTAGCCTCCTTCAGTTAAATCAAATTTGATTAGGTCTATCTTTAAAATTTGTGTGGTAAGTGGAATCAGCAGCAATGTGTGCTGAAACTGCCCCGTGCAAATCCCCTGTTTTCTGTTGCGTATTCCTTTAACCAGACATCAGCTCTTCGGTGGAAAAAGATGCATTCTGGTAATCTGTTGTATTGTAGTTGTTTGTGGCATGTCTTTAAAACATACCTAAAATTGGGAGAATGGGGAAATAAAGATTGGGATTTGGGATTTAGGGAATTGTGTGAGAAATGGTGCCAGGAAAATATACAGGTAGCAGGTAGTCAGTGGAAAAAATGAGATTCCCAGGATGGGAATTGAAACGGATGGCAGAAAGACAGAGGCTAAAAGGGATACAGAAAGGGATAGCCGTGAATAACTGAGACAGATGAGGAGCCCAGGAAGGGTCCTGGAAGCAGACTCTGGATGGGCAAGGAAACTGGAAATGGTTGTAGACAGAGGCTAAGCAGACACTGCGGGGTGACAGTCTTAGGAAAATAGGGGAGGACTGGACAGACAAACTGAAAGTGCGCTGAGACTTCTCAGGACTGCAGGTGGGTCTGGAAAGGAAACCTGGGGCAGAGACAGAAGAGGGGACTGAGCCCAAGGGGAGTGAGCAGATGTTTCCACCCTCTGTAAGAGTCTTCCTTGTAATCCGGCACAGAGCACAAGCTCTGACGCTTATCACCTCTTAGCTGCACAAATGTCTGTGAAACGCAAACGTACGTTTCCAGTCCCCTTCCACTGCCACATGGCACTGAAGTTTAAAGTCTCCCATTGCTGTCATGACCTTTCCCTCGTTTTGCAAAAGGTGGAATATGTTGAGAGGCATTAGCAGAAAGAAAGGGACGATGGCATAGCAAAGACTGTCTTTGGGTTTGCCCTTGGAAAACTAGACGTGTTTCTGTTTGTGCCTCTGCGTTCGTATGCAACGTTGTCCTGGTTTCGGCTGGGATAGAGTTAATTTTCTTCCTAGTAGCTGGTATAGTGCTGTGTTTTGGATTTAGGATGAGAACAATGTTGATAACACACTGATGTTTTAGTTGTTGCTGAGTAGTGCTTACACCAGTCAAGGACTTTCCAGCTTCCCATGCTCTGCCCGGTGCACAAGAAGCTGGGAGGGGGCACAGCCAGGGGGGCTGACCCAGACTGGCCAAAGGGCTATGCCATGCCATATGACGTCATCCCCAGTATATAAACTGGGGGAGTTGGCCAGGGTCAGCGATCGGTGCTTGGGGACAGGTTGGGCATCGGTTGGCAGGTGGTGAGCAATTGCATCGTGCATCACTTGTTTTGGATATTCTTTTATCATCATCATAATCATTATTATTGTTACTATTACTATTATTATTGTTATTATTATTATTTCCTCTTCCTCTGCTGTCCTATTTAACTGTCACAGGTTTTACTTTTTTTTTCCAATTCTCTCCCCTGTCCCCCTGGGAGCAGGGAAGGTGAGCGAGCGGCTGTGCGGTGCTTGGTTAAACCCCAAGAGATGTTAACCAGGCCATTCGAGTGTCTTGCAGGCATCTCTGGAAGGGTTGATGTGGGCTTGGAAATCTCACTGGTGGAAGCTGAAGTCAAGGAGGGTTGTGCTCTGAGCACCACGTGCAGTCTAATGGTAGGTATGCTGAAATGGCGCTGACGATCAGTTTACGCAGTAAATATACATGATGTGCGCACTTCTTCCGTGTAAACTTGCAGAATCTGAACTGTGCCTGTGAGGACAAATACGGTGTCTCGGTAATGCAGCATCATATGCTGTCACAGCAGTTGCCTCTCGGTATACTTGCGTGTATGTCAGCGTGTTTAATCGGGTAGTTTTTCTGATTAACTTGTCCATTTTTTCTCTTTTTTATTTTCGAATGCAGATTTTATTTGTTCCTAATTGCTTTGGCCAGTTTAATCCGGATTTAAACACTTCGGATCTAGCCTTTTACTTCCATAGCAAGATTGACTTGAATTTCTAGGTACAGAAGATACAAAATTCCCTCTGCTCCTCAGCACTCAGAGCAAATCAGTCACGTTTTAATCCAGAAAAAAGAACAAGGGGTGGCAGCGTCGGTGGGACCCAGGGCTGCGTGAAGAGAGGGCTCCCTTCCCTTCCCGCGCGAACTACATCTCCCGTCAGGCCCCGCTCCGCCCCGCACGGCGCCGCTTGCTGCGCGACGCGCCTTGCACCACGGGAGTTGTAGTCCTCTTGCGCCTCTCCGCCCCCGCTGGCCGCGCTCCGGAAGTGACTCGGCGGCTCGGAGGTGAATGGGGGCGCGTTGATTTCCGGGAGACGGCGCTCATGGAGGCTCCGGAGCCG